TGAACGGAAGTGAGCTGCACGCAAAATGCACTTTTAGCAGCTTCTCCGGAATGGGGCGAAAGAAGGACTGACCACCAAAAGATCGATGTATTTTACCTTCCCTTTCCTCGGAGTTGGCGATGGATTACTGTTTTGTAATTGTTTGCTCCTGTCAAATCGCAACTTATTTCGCTCACGTTTGCCAAAGGCGTGGGCAGCTTCTCCCGACGGGATCTCTTTTTGCAAGGCCCAAATTGAAGATCTACCACAGCACAGAACGTGAGTTTGGACCTTTCTTGTAATGCTTCCTGTTTCATTTTCATTCTGTTGACAATTTTACTGGCCGCCAATAAGTTGTCGAGGTTTGACAAGTCTGTTCTCTCCAAATGTTGTTCAGCAGTGAGGCATGTGACACCGCTCACCTTCAATTTTGACAACTTTCGAGTCGTTGTCAAACTGGACATCAAAACGCTGTTACTTGAGGAGCGCATTGACTTCAGCCAATTTGTGCTTCTACTTCGTGCTGCACTCCTCCACACAGCACGGGCGGAGGACCAATTGACTGTCCGCGTGCTTTGCAGGTTCCACACCACTTTCCTGTGCCGCATTATTCCCTAGTGCCGGTAGACACAATTTGTGGCGCACTGACATTTCTGACACGGGTTTACCTGCCCCCAGCTCGCCGTCTCCACTCCACATCGATCCACCTGCGTGTGGGTGTGTGCGGTGCTTGTGCAAAGTACTTTGACACCAAATGTCAACTTCAAGTGGCAGTGCCAACCTCTCGCCATCAAGATGGGTCAGAAACAACGGGGCAAAAATGATTACTGTCAAGCAAGCACGCTGGACGACCGAAAAGTGAGGGGGATAGTGGGGTGACTCCATCCAAGTACAAAAGGTCACACCAACAAGTACGACGCATTAACGTTGTCGAGATGTGCTCCACCCCGTACAATCCTTACTAAGAGAGGTTGTGGAGCGTGTCGACATAAGAGTCACTCGGTGCTGGCTTAGTTATTCGTGTTGGCACCAGCTAGCAGCGGACAGATCTACAAAGTTGTTGTTTTGTGCCGCATCGTTCGCTGCAATGCATATTAGCGGCCTCGAGTGTGGCCTATGGAAGAGAGGCGCGAATTCAATTCCAGCACCGTGGAAGTGGGGTGTGAGGAACCTTCTCTGGACCAGCTTGTTTACCACAGCTGTACCAGCGCTTCTGCAGACTGTAACTATCTAGCAAGGCCAAATAAATTCGCTATCCAACTGTTTCCCGTCTCAAAGGACTGGACCAATTTACACCGTTTGGCCTCGCCCTAAGGAATTGCACCCAAGTGTAGCGAATCCTCCATTTGCGAGCAAAACAATCGCATAACAATACATCTTTGAAAGCACCAGTCAAAACGAGAACCATCTTTTCCGCGTGCAATGGTACCTTAATTTTCCTTCAAGCATAGTAACAAATTTGGCCTTGCAATCGGTATTTACACTTGCAGAGACTGATAAATGTACGTGCAAAGTTTGGCTAAAGTAGAGAGGTGTACAGCTAATGTAATCTCCTCAAGCAAACACTATTTCCACTTTATCACCAACTTGGTAAATGAGGACATACTTTGAAGCCTACAATTGCATGTCATCTTGGCCAGATGCACGCAAGTACAAGAGTAGGGGCACAGGAGTCAGGAGAAAGACTGGATGAGCTGTTGCCTCAACTGTCTGCGTCTCATCAACTTCCTCCCAGCATGCAAAGGCACTTCGTCCTCGTGTTCTGCTACTTAATCACTTATAAGTAGGGCTTTGATGCGATGGAATGCTGAGACAAGCGTTTGTCCTTTGCTGATGAGTGATCGTGCGTTTGTTATTCCCTGCACTTCGCATTCAGCTATCACAAATGGATTGGAATCCAAACACGGGATGTCGATTGTCTACGGACTTAAAGGCTGTAAATTCTTCCCCTTAGTAAGTCCTACTCCAAAGACGAACACCCCAAAACTTTGCAGTGGTCGTCCGACGTCTCCATTTAGTCGGCTCTACATTTGGTTCGCACAAAGAAACACTCCAAGTGAGGTACTGCAGCGCATCCTTTACGAGGCAGAGGGTCAAGTGGGGTCGAAATCCCGTTCAACCTCTGCAACGTCCAACAACGAGGCTTGATTTCGAAGAAGGCTCTTTGGCTCGAAATGCACTGCTCGCTTGACTGGAACATGACAATATGCTAATGACAAAATTATGAGTGTTTTGGGATTTCGATTTAGCATGGGACTTTCCTGTAGGTGGTAAGTTCCGGTGTTCTCGCCCCACATTCTGCCACTATCAGTGCGCACCACGAAGTGCATACAAAAGTTGTGATGCACAAGTCGACATTCCCTTGGAAGCAGCAGGAATCGCTAAATTACGGAAGCACAGATCACCAATTATTGACTCTATTTGAGTTGCAGATATTACGTTCCTTGTTGACCAGTTTGATGCAGATTTCGGCCCATTCTTTTGAGCTTCCATTCTAGAGTTGATGGAGTCGCACCAAAAGTTCCGCTAAATGACTACCAGTGAGTGGTTCGGGCTCGCAATTCTCCTTGTCGACGTAAGTGCTAATGGACAGGCACGGTAAGCGCGTGCATTCGCAGTTCTGGAGCAGGACAGGATGGTATAGAAGTAGTGGCCATGATTACAGACTGTGGTCCTGATTATCCATTTCGAATAGTCATCATCACGTGCAGACCTCTGCTCCTCACGAGCTGCTCAGGAGAGGCCACACGGAGTGGCGGAGCATTAAAAATCACCCACCTACACTCACCACCACCACCTCATCAATCTTATTTTCAATGTGACCCACAGGAGACGGAAATTGGTGTGGCATAAAAGCAGGACTACATGCGACACCCTCATCCAATGGCGATCTGCCACGTGGGTAGAAGTGAGTCCAGTCAATCTGCATTGAGTGCCGTGTGATCCTTCCACGACAGCCGATGCTCCGCAAATTCGAGGCCTCACAATTGCAGTCGAACTCAAGGAAGGTAGCTGATAGCATCACTTGCTTGGTGAAGTAAATGAAGCGTTTACGCCGTGCTAAGTACTGCGGGTGAACATTTAACGCCAAAACCAGCATAAACAGAGGAAACGTTATCAAGTAGACTCCGCCTCCCTTCTGACACCCGTATAATTATTCATCGTGCAAAGTGTTCAGCATCACGTGTGTCGTATTCTGCTGGAGCGAAACTCCAACTACGTCACCACCAAAAGGCGAGGTTGATGCTCTGGAAGACGTGGTTTCACAAGTGACGCACAACATCCGTTTTGCCAGTCAAAGGTATACCTTACCATAGGGGTGCGTCTTAATGGCCTTGATCACTTCTTGCTCGAATGCCTCATTCTCCTCGCCAAATGCATCGACTGCGTAAAGGGGAGTCAACGCCGACATGTTTGCTTACGACAGTTAGTCATTGCACCGAGGTAGTGGGAAGATAAACAATCGGGACTCGGGACCGGTATGTCGCGTTGACAACTGTCGTCCTCATCGTACAGTTATCAGAGCTTCGTAGAACCGGCGGTTAAGCTGGCGACAGTCGTCAGTCATCCCTACAGTGGATGCTGCAAGGATTCGCTTGTCAGTCTATGTGGAGAGGAATGTCCACTCACTGCATACAGATGCTGCTTTTCGGTCAATTTTCGCCTACTCCCTTCTCACGGGTGTTGGTTTCAGCAGCGGTTACCACACCGTAAGTGATTCGTTGCCTGCCTCACCTCAGCGACTAGGTGTCCCGCGCCAACACATGTCGATGAAAACTGTGTACTTTTGGTCACATCCTACCGACTAACGTGCCGCCTGTATAGGCTTCATCTCGGGAATTCCTCCAAATCTGCCAACCAGGCAATGTGTGACATTCGCAACCTATTCAGGTGGCAGTCAAGGTCATGTGAGGATGAGTGGTTCGTTGGTTAAACTGCATAGTGTGATTTAAAGAAAACCGCCTCACCAGTAGGGTAATCCGGTGAAACAGAACGTAAAACAGAAAAAGAGGGGGTGGCAAGCATCATCAATTCATTTAACTGGTTCCTCCATTCGCACGCAGTGGCTCCACCTCCCACCAATCGGATGAGTTCCTTCGAGCAATTACCATAAAACAACGCATCTCAGCACCATGAGCCAATGACTAACGGCCTCGCGATATTGTAAGAGGCGGGATGGCAATCGGAAGTTTCTCGTTCACACACTTGAAATCGAATCATTTATGCCACTCGTATGGCAATCGGGCACACTATAGCCCCACTACTACCAGCGCCTTCATACCCTTTTGCTACAATGCTTCAAGTTCTTCCATTCTCCTTAGGCCTGCCAGTGATGGGCCTTCTGCAGTCGGGCTCTACATCGCAAACATTCTCCAACTTGGCCAATCCAAACGCCAACGCCAAAGTCGTGGATGCCTGTGAACGCAAACACTTCGGACTCCCCTCTTGTGGCCTCAACATCTTCACCACCGTCACCGCATCCACTCCTCCCCAAGACAAATCTCACACTACCTCACTGATACAGTGTGATAAAGGATTCAGCGAAGAGAATCTCGCCACGGTCTTATCCACTCAATTTCACTTGCAAACCCCACATTTGCCATTCGTAATTCCATATAATACCATCGGCACTTCACCACTGTTGTATGCTCCTTGCACCAATGTTAATGCCATGCTACCACTGCAAACATTTTATCCCCTTCCACCATTGACACCCAATGAATTGGGTCTACTCATCGCCAGTCACCTTTCCTGGAACCCTCACATGCTCCTTCCGGTTCTGCTTAGTCTGTTCAACGCACACCGACGACCAACCTCAGATACCACCCTGCCAAACATCGAAACGGAAGCACGCGATACCAGTTACGAGGCCTGCAACGGCATCACAAACGGCAGCAACGTCAACGCTTCCACCATTACCAGAACGATGGAGAATGGTGACGTGAAAGAGGAGCAGGAGCAGGAGCAGGTGGAGGAGAAGGTGGAGGAGAAGTGTGTTCAGCAAGGTCAGAAGTGTAGGAAGGTGTGCAACAACTCTGCCACGGGCGAGGCCACTCACGCCCTTGGAACTGCAACTACTGCAATAAGGCGTTCTCGCGAAGGTGGGTCATTCAGGGTCACGAGCGCACACACAGGCGAAAAACTCTTCGTCTGTTCGGTCTGCCACCATGCCTTTGCCGACCGGTCGAACTTCCGAACACACAAGAACACACGCACCACAACGCAGCGCGTTCGCTGTCCTTGCTTTTCTCGGTCCTTCATCCGAAACAGGACGCTCATCCGACACCTCAAGAAGTGCCCATCCTCCACTCCTGCCACACCCGTCAGCGCTGATCCTGCTTCCACCACCCCGCATCGCCATCACTGCTGACCGTCCCGATTCCATCAACCCCACTGATCCGAACGAGTACGTGGTGCAAATGCAACAACCATGACTACTTCGAGAATTCATGTCATCTTTTGTGTGTACG